ACACATAGAATGTGTGTTTATTTTTAGTCTGAGTACAATTTTTTCCCAATGATTTTTTTTTCCCACATGGTTGGAGAGACATTCCATCTGTAGTTCCTTAGAAGGCAAGGTTATGTTAATTTTGTTCTAAAACTCAGTAAGATGGAAGAGTTTTTAAGTACTTTTTACCTCGTGAAAACCTTAACCACAGAACAAAAGGCAATGTAAGTGTAACGGTGATAATAGATAAAATGAAAACTGAAGTCTAATGTTTTATTATTAATTCCATAGTAGCTGTTTTCTGTGTTGCATATAAGAAAAACAATGTAATAATAATAAAAGAAAATGTTAAGGGGAAAGGGGAGAAATTAGCACACAGTTCCTACTCTTCTCATTCTTTCTTCAAAGATAATGCAGTATTTGTACTTCATACCTATATACAACCTGTTCAACCTTGACTCAAAGACAAAGTACTAAAATGTGTCTAAGTCCCAGTGTCTGCAAACGATTTCAGTGAGTTGAAAGGATTGAATCAGACCAGAACCAACCAAAAGAAGATTCTTTTAAGAAAATATGAAATAATCTTGTGCTCTATTTACCAATTTTTAAGAAGTTGAAAAATTTATTTTTATTTTTTCTTTGTAAAGAAATAAATGGTATTTTTTATTTAAATGTTTATTTTGCAAACAAGTTGCCTTCCTGGCATTCAAGGCCAGGGCAGCCTGGTCCAGTGGTTGGCAACCCTGCACATAGCAGGGGAGTTGAAACTAGGTGTTCATTGTGGTCCTTTTCAACCCAGGCCACTCTATGATTCTGTGATTCTATGTACATAGGTTATGCCATTTTTAGTCTCAACTATTGTTCTGTTATAGAGTTGGTAAAATAATGTCCTATGTGATCAAAGTTATGTGTTCACTAATTACTTCCCATGCATAGAATACACACGGGCTTTTAAAATTGTTTATTTAAAAACTGATATTAATCTCCCGTCCTTCCAAACTTTTTGATTGTCCATTTTTAGTATCAACACATATGATTATCTCTGTAATTTATGTAATTGTTCCATCCAGACATTTACAGTATATAGGGAAGAGAGGGTCTGTTGTAGATACCATAGGTCTAACTAGCAGCTTGTTCCTTCTGTTCTTAAATTTCATGTAGGAAGATGAGGTAACGGTATGTTGTGGTGATAATATGTCTTTCTTAAGTAGTGTGATTATTTTTTCTTTTATGCTAGATCCGCAGAGTGAAATATAAATTAATGTGCTTTACTACTTTCTTTTTTAAGCATCTAGTTGATTCCAAAGTTAAAATTATCCTACATTAGTGTGACCTTTTGCAAGATCTTATAGCAGTAGTATTTTTCAGTGACACAAGTTACAGAAAAGGAGCCAGAATCTCAGCTGAAATCTGTATAAATCTCATCTGTCTCTCTTGGTTGGAGTGATGCTGATGTTGCAATATTTATGCAAAACAGGGAAGAACTTGGCTGCTTTCACATCTCTAAATTTAGGATGTGGGTGGGCCAGGACAGTGAGCAGTTTATAACATCTCTGTGCAACAAACTTAATAAATCCATTTTGTATGTGACCTCTGTAAACTTTTCATCATATATTAAAAATGTTGCTGTGCTGTTGACAATAAGTGTCAGTATGAAGAAAGAATGGAGGAAGACCTTGTACACTTATTTTGTTTCCCGAAATGTTAAAAGCACTATAATTATAGGTCATTTGCATGATTTCTTTGGTAATTAAGAGTTTTAATTGCATTTAGTTCTAGGGAATTAGTTAAGCTGTTCATTATGCATATTTCCTTCCATAATCATCATCTCTTCTCATACACTAAGTTTAGTTACATCATGGAAGTCAATTAAATCTTTTAAGACAGTAGGGAGTACAATTCTTTGTATGACCTGGATTAGAAACAGTCTCTGAAAAGCCTTGATAATGCTGTTTTGTGCAACATTTAAGTTTTGTCTTCAAAAAGGAAAGCCTGTTAGGGCTTCATTTACTGTTTCAGGATGCATAGAGTTCTTAGGGTAACAAACTAATCTATTCTTAGGAAAACCAATAGGCAGAAGTATGCTTCAGTTCTAATTGCAGCTGTTTCAGATTTGCATATTTATAGTACAAATACTGATCAACAGTTGAAAATATCATATTGTTCAAACTGGAAGAAGAAAAGAAGGCATTTAGAGATATATAAATGAAATCAGCACAGGAGATATTGGTTTAGTTCTCTTGGCTCACTGAAAGTTACTAAAGTTTGCTTTATAAAATGGAAGGTAGAAAACACATTTTGCATTTCCTTGTCTGACCCCAAGTTCTTGAAGATGTATTCATGGGCAAGGATCAATATTTTAAAAAGAAAAGAAAGTGTAAAGAAAGTGTTCACTCCTTCTGTCTGTTCTGATCTCTGATACATATCATAGAAATGGGATACACTTATATAGTGCATCTATTTAATATGTCTTGCAAAAGTGTTTTCTTTGATCATAACAAAGGTTTTACAGGTTGTGACTTGGTACTCTGAGAGCAGAACAGATAAACTCTGCACATCCTTAATCTTTCTTGATCAAAGAGTGTTTTAAGAAACCTAAAAGCAAAAAGATGCGGTATGTTCCCTTCCAATGCATCAAATCTGAATTCAGGCAAAAGTTAAACTAAGTTTCTCTATTAATTATTTTCAGTAAGTATTATTTGGTACAATCTCTTATATTATGAAGAGAAGGATAAGACTCATCCAGTGTAGGAAAGCATTGGCTACGTTGGCAGAGACCATAAAGAGTAGCCTAATGCATGACAGAAAAATTAGTAATGAGCCGTAGTTTCAGTGACTGGAGGTTGTGGAGAGCACTGTACTTTTATCCCAGCATCAGTATTGAATTACTGAAATCACTTGTGGCAATATTTTTGATATTAGCGGTAGTAACACTACTAATAACTTAGCTAGTAAATACAGTCTGAATTACAGAACTGTTAGAAAGCATTGGTCAGCATAAGTCTCAGATATTGGATACTTGAATTGTCCATACTTTGGATTGTTCATGACCAAAAATTCAAACTTAAGATTGCGTGACGTAAGGAAGAGATTCTTTATTTCATGCTAGAATGAACTTCAGAAGCATAATGTTTTATTATATAAATGTTCGAATCAGGTGATCAACCTGACTTTGTATGAGTTTTTCACAATTCAGTTGAACTGTGTGTGTCTTCGTAAAATTATTTTACATGTGTTTTAAATGGTTCCTTAATGTCATTTGCCTTATTCCATGCCTTTAGTTATGGTCCTCAGCTGATACTAACCTCAGAACTTACACTGTATGCTTACTGTCTTCTTTCCTTCAGCTTTTGCTGACAGAAAAAACATTTCCACTGTGACTGGTTACTGACTTGTTTTATTTTTTTTTTTAAATAGGGTTCACTCTGCCATTATTACTCTGAAATATGCAAACATATTTCAATTTAATTCAATTAGTTCAACTCTTCAGTACTGTATTTCGTGTCTAGATAATACTTGTGTTTTGCTAAAATGTACCCTACCCATATAGTAAGGAAAAATGAAGAGTTCTATGAAATGGTGCACTGGCCAATTGTAAAAACTCCAGTATTATTCAGATACATGCAAAAAAATTGAGAGGACAAACTTTTCAGCACTTTAGTTATTCTATATCTTAATATCTTTGAGGTCATTAAAAATATTGTGGTGGTGGGAAGTATGAAGAAGTATTATCTATCAAAATCTAATTTTATATCAGATGCTGAAGTAGCTTTATAAATTTTACTTAGGCAAACCAAACAGTACTGAAGGTGAGATTGTACGTTTGGTAGTCATATTTATTTTTAATGAATATTAATTACTATGTAGTTGACTGACCTCATGATTGTTGCTTTAAAGCACACATGAATATTTTTTTCCAATAATATGTGTAATTTGAAACTCTGAGAACTTACCTTTGGTTGTTTTCTTTCAAGTTTTTCCAGACTTTGTATGTTTCTTATATATGTATATGGATAATGCATGCTATATAAAGAGATTGGATGTTTCATCTCTCTTATTTTAGTTAGCTTAATTTACAACATTTCAATTTAATTGCTGACGTAATTGAACCGAATAGTATGAAGTACCTTTATGTTAGGACTTAAAAAATAGATACTAAGTGCTTGCTTTTTTCAGAAAAGTCAGTTTCTAATCCAGTAATCAAAAGCTACAGCATGTTATCCAGATTAGTTTAAATGCCGAAACAGAGAAAATGAATGCAATTTTTTTTTAAAAAAGTATAGCCATTCAATTTGAAAAATACTGTATTTCTTATTAAGTATTGTACTGTTAAACTCAAATTTCACACAAACAATAATTATTTTTTACAACCTTGATTTCATGTTGTCCGTAATTTCACTACTCTGCAATTTTGACAGTTTTAAGATATGTAACTTTAACCTGACTAAACTGTATTCTCTGAAAGTAGCAGTCCAATATAATTGCTGATTTTCTTGTCACCATTGTTTTGAAAGAAATAAAACATGAGTTAAAAAATATAAAATAAAACATTAATTCAGCAGTACTCTTCTGACAAATAATTTCTACCTAACTCTCCACTCACTCAGAGTCCTAATATTGACCTAAGTACTTTAGTCTTTTCACCTCTCATATACACTGAGAAATGCAAAGTTGTAAAGTTGGTCTTAGTTAAATTGCCTGCTTGTAAAGCTATGTAAGCACATGCTTAACTTTACATTAAGCCTCTGTTTAAATCTATTGCTATAAAAGAAATTTCTTAGAAACATCTGGATAATCAATTGTTGGGATTTGAATATGTGTGTTGAAGCTTTTTGAATTAATTAATTAATTTAAGGTTAATTACCTTGCAGATGTTCAAATTTGGAGGTTTAGCCATGTTCTAATTAGGGATTGTCTAAATCTGTTTTATTCAGTATCATTCTTTCTTTATAAATAGAAAATTAAAAGTTTGTAATAACATTATTGTTTCGCTTCTTTTTCCTTACTTCCTTGTTTCTCAGTGTCTTGTGTTTGAAGATTCACCGCTTGGAGTCAAAGGAGCACTGGCAGCAGGAATGCAAGTGGTTATGATTCCAGATGAAAATTTAAGTCCTGATCTTAAAAAGGAGGCGACTCTACTGCTCAATTCCATGGAGGACTTTAAACCAGAGCTTTTTGGTTTACCAGCATATGATTAATGCCTAATGTCTCTGTTCATAAGCTTGACTGGAGTTCAGGAAACCAGAATGAAATCTTGTTAAGATTTTATAATTGCTTTGTTTTGTCTCTCTTTCTTAAATCTAGAGCAAATAAATTCTGTTAAAACTGTGTCTTCCACATTGTTCTAACCTTTGAAAATTGACTGAAATATTACATATTTGCTCTCATGATATATGTGAAGTTAAAACAGTGTTTCATCTTCTAATGTGATCCAGCTTTGTTCTCTGTACATCATAATGTTTTCTGGGAATATTATGAAACTATTTAGACAATTTATTGTAATTACATTAGAAACTTCTTGAACTGTTCCCATTTGAATGGCTTACTGTTTAGCCTTGAACCAGAAATCTGTTCTGGATTGGCTTATATCACATTACATTGGTTTTGATACAGTTATCACTATTAAACGCATCCAGTTTACCATTTCCTCATCCTTTGCTTGCCTGTCTATTCCCCTTTGTATCCTCATAGTTTTATTTTCTATTTTTTTTGTTACACTTCCTGTGTGGTTTTGCTTTGTTTGTTTCTTTCTTTCCTTTACTTGGATTTTTTTTTCTGTTCCTGGAGGGTTTGACTTGCAGAGGTCCCTTACAGCCTTCATTCTGTCTCTGACCTTTGGGTCATGCCTGCTATAGAGCTATACAAGGTTATATGATCCTTCTATTTAACCAAACCACTTTTCATCTGCCTCTTTATATTCTTCCTGTTTTCCATGTTGCCATGTAGCCTTCCCTTCCATTTGTGTGAGAGGTATTCATTCTATCTTTTTGTTTCAATCTTGATAAAATTATGGCTTTAGCTCCTACACGTACAAGTAGCTTTCTCTAGGCTATCTCAACTTTCTTGTTCTTAATTTATTTTTATTGGCAAAAAGCCATGTTTTCTGGAGACATCTTTAGTATCTATTTTTAAATTGTATACATTGTCATTTTGTTTGATTTAAATATTAAAATTTATTTTTATGGCAAACAGTTTCCACAAAATGATCATTTTGTTATCTATCCTTATTAATTCTATGTGTTTCTGATATCTTGGCAGAATAGCAGTGAGGACCGAGTTAGAAAATGCTATACATACAGACAGGTTTTAATGGAATCCGAAGTACGTATATATTGTGGTGGAAGCAATGCACTTTCTTTTTCTAAAGAATTCTACAGTGGGTGGGTTTATAACATTTATAAATTTAAACATTTAAAAAGAAAAAATCTAATTGATTTTTCGTAATATACTCCAAAATTCTGGTAAAAGACTTGTTTCTGTAAAAATAACAAGTGTGATGTGAACTCCTTTGTGTTTGGTTTGGTTGGTTGATTGTTTAATATCATTTGTTTATCTGTTCTTGCAATTCTTTTTCCAGACATTTTCTCAATTACTGCTTTAGGTAGAAAGTTTTTTGGTGAAAACAGAAGTAAAAGAATCAGAGATGCTCCAGTGCTTCGCATTCAAATTGAGTTTCCTCATGTTTTTGGTTTTTTTTCCCCTTCAAATTATATTTAAATTAAAACAGAATTACAACTTCTACATAGACTGATACAGTTTTCTGCTGTTGTATTCTTTTCATGCCTCAAAGAATTAAGAAATTTGTATTCTCTGTAGCCAATAAAATATGATCTGAATGGAACTAGAAGATCTTTAGAACATATAGTATAATATTTTGCAGTGTAATGCTTTTAATGGAAGGATCTGGAAGCTTTTTTTTTTAAGGTAAATACTTTTTTGATGTTGCTATTTTGTGTACTACATAATTTCATTAAGACCATTGTTATTTGCACAGTGGCAATAAACCATTCTCTTCAAAATAAATTCAATTTCTGGGCTTCTCAGCCAGATAATAGAAATACAGCTATATAATTCCTTTGTTATCTTCTGTTGTGCAACACAAAGTGTTTATGTTGTGCAGTAATGCTTAACATTCCAGTATAAAATAGGTGCCTGTTGGGATCCCCTTTTTTCGTAATTACTGAATTCCAACTGGGAAGTTACTACATAGAATAAGCAATAATAAGTTGCAATTAGCACACTAATAATTTTCATAGTTTGGCATTTGTTTAATTTAACTGGAGAGATTTAGAAAAAAAAGAAATCTGAAGTGCTCTTCATTTACAGATTACTTTGGAAGACATTGAGGCCCTGGAGCAAGTTCAAAGAAGGGCAACAAAGCTGGTGAGGGGTCTGGAGCACAGGGCTTATGGGGAGCAGCTAAGGGAGCTGGGAATGTTCAGCCTGGAGAAGAGGAAGAGGAGGCTCGGGGGAGACCTCATTGCTCTCTGTAACTACCTGAAGGGAGGTTGTAGTGAGCTGGGGGTCGGCCTCTTCTCTCATGTAACTGGTGATAGAACTAGAGGGAATGGCTTCAAGCTGTGCCAAGGGAGGTTTAGTCTGGATGTTAGGAAATACTGCTTTTCTGAAAGAGTGGTCAGGCACTGGAATGGGCTGCCAGGGAGGTGGTGGAGTCATTGACCCTGGAGGTGTTCAAGGAACGTTTGGATTTTGTGTTGAGGGACATGGTTTAGTGAGAACTATTGGTGATAGGGGGATGGTTGGACTGGATGATCTTGAAGGTCTTTTCCAACAGCCTTGGTGTTTCTCTGATTCTGTGATTCTGTGAATGAACAGCCATCAAAATCCTGCATTCTTTTAAAGATGTTAAGATTAATAATTGATATCAGAAAATCAGAATTATTTAATCATGATCACTGTAATATCAACAGACCCTGTAATACTATTCTAATAAGATTATCTTTTACTGAGAATTCAGTGAGAAAACTTTCACTTCTTAGCTGCACAGAAAATCCTGTCCTGTGCAATTACTCTGTTGTTCGTTTAATATCCCATCTGGCAGTTTTCATTAAGATTATTGCCCCAGACTGAATTCAGTGAACCTGAGCCATGTCTGAACGCATTCCTTTTAGTAAAATTCTATTCCATGTACCTTACTGCTTGCAGTTGACCAAGTTCTCACTCCTCTGCTGAATCCATTGACAGTTATTAAAGCATCTGTGTTGTCATTAGCTTTTCTCCTGACTAAAAGAAAAATCAAAAATGTACATGAAATTCATTTTTTTCAGGCCTAGCAAAACTATTGTCATCTCTGTCACATGATAGGTAGATATTCATGGCAGCCATAGCTGACTGTAGTCTGCCTAATGACCCATATACCAAATATCAGCATATGTTTGTATATATTTCTATATCCATTTTTGGTTGGATTTGTGGCTCTGTAGCTCAATCATCTCAACAACATCTGTTCAGGAAAAAAATAAAAATAAAAAAAAAAAAGATTAAAAATTTGGAACATTTCCCTTCCTTCCATCTGCTGTTTTCCAGATGAAGTCCTGTTTTGACTGAGCTAAAAAAATTTGTACCAGATCCTGGCTACAGATCATGAGGACATGTGAGCAATCAGGACATTCTGAATGCTCCATCTGTGTTTGTATGAAGAGCACTGTTAAAAAATAATTCCCCTCCTCCCCCCAAAAAAACCTGTCCTCTAACTCAGCAAGCAGACTTCAGTTCCAACAAATGCTTAAGTACATGCTTATTTCTTTTTCATTAAGCATTTCTTTTTGATTAAACGAGTAGGCCCCAGCTTAATTTTAAGGACACATTTATTTCTGTTTCGTTTAATACTGAACATTATTTATTATATTATATATATTATATAATTATATTATATAATTATTTATTATATACCATATAATATGTGGTTCTACAGCCATATTCTGAGAAGTCCATCCTCCAAGAAATAAAGGCAAAACTTCATGATCAAGATTTTGCCATTGGATAACTACAGCAAGATGGAGCTATGTTTAACCAAGAAAGTAAACATTTCATTTTGAAAAGAAAAAAAGCAAACGTCCATAATCTATGAAATGTTATACTAGAACTTAAATTCCTTTCTGCATCATAATTGAAGTAAGTTTTGCATGCTACTGGAACTCTATTGGGATTTATCCTAATAGATTTCTAGACTGCAAAGATATACCTAAATATATATATCTTCAACTTTCATTGAATATATTTAGGTAAAAATTCATTGCATTGGAACAGCAATAATTTCAGAATGCAATCTGACTTCTGCAAAGGTTGGCATTTGTGTTCTACAAATAAACATTAGAAAAAGCTGAGATGTTCATTCTTCACTTGGATTAGATATCTTTCTAAATAATACTGTAGCTAAAGCCCAGTAATCTCAACCCAGCATCAAATTAGTGTTGTATATATTCCAAGAAATTGTCTTCAGCAAAAGCCAAACTAAAATAATAATACTAATATTAATAATATTAGTATTAATATTATTAATAACAATTTAAATATTTTATAATATCATATATTAAAATAAATAATATTATATATAATATATATTATATATAGTATAATTATATATTGTATAATATATAATATTATGAAATTATTATTATTATTTTAAAAATAAAAAAATGCAAGAAGCATTATATTAAAAAGGAATTATTTTCCACTGTGTTAAAATATACCTGTATCTCTAACAGAATGAAACTTGAGATTTTCTTCAAGTATTGGTCGTTCATATAGAAACTTAGGAAAAAAAATCTGCAATTCTAAGTGCCATTAAAAAAAAAAAAAAATCATTTACTTATTTCCAATTTTCCTCTCTGTAGCTACACTGAACTTCCATTGTTTTGCATTTGAGAAAATAGAACAGTTTTTTTACTAGTTGGAAGAATTAGAAAGACTGTAATGGAGGAAAAGTAACCCTCAATACATTCTGTCCCAAGGGAAATTTCATCGTCAACAATAGATCATGCTAACCTTCCCTTTGGCTGATGCTTTACAAATTGTGGGTTTAATCATCTTTAAAGTGAAGAACAGAAGGAGAAAGTGGATTTAAATTGAAGTATATGCCATAAGTTCTGAGTACTCAAGACCCTGCCTCAGCAGTAGAGCTCACTGATTGTGCTGCCAACTTTGTCTTCACCAGGTATTTTAGTGCCATAAAAAATTGACTTCAGAAGGCAGAGTGTAGAAAAGTATCTTCTATAGCGTGTTTCTTCAAACAAAGAAAGTAGAACAGTAGAAATTCAGAATCAATGAAGATACATAAATAATCTTTAATGAGCAACAGAGCACAAGAAAAAAAAATTATCATTAAAGAACTTAGTTCTGATAATGACAGAGTGTGAAAAATAGTTTCAGTTTTGACTTTGAAATTTTGAATTGGTCAAACAACTGTGAAATGGAACAGTATTTACTCATATTTAAAGGGAGTTTATAAACATGAGGTTTATAAACTTTTTACAAGGGTAAATAGTGGTAGAACAAGGAGGAATGGTTTTAAACTAAAAGAGGGGAAATTTAGATTGGATGTCAGGGGGAAGTTTTTCACTGAGTGAGTGGTGAGCTGCTGGAACAGACTGCGCAGAGAGGCTGTGAGTGCCCCATCCATGGGGGTGCTTAAGTTCAGTTTGGATGGGGCCCTGGACAATCTGATCTAGTACTTGATCTGGCAGTTGGCAACCTCCCTGTGGAAGGGTGGCTAGAAATCGGTGATCGCTGAGGTCCTTGCAACCCAAGCCATTTTATGATTCTGTGATGAAATGTTTCTATGATTCTATTATTCTATGGTTTTATGATCATCCTGAAGACATATGAAAGAAACTACTTCATACCATTGTTCTCTGTCACATTTACCTCTAATTCCTTATTGAGGGAATGAAATCATCATTTCTTCAAAGTCAACAACATTCCTATTGTAACTAAAGCAATTTTCTCATAGAAAGGAATGTTGGAAGAGTTTTTAACTGTCATTCTTCTATAATATCATAGTTAATTTAAAAAAAAAAAAAAGTTTTCATTTAATTCTTATTTCACAAATTATTTCACAAAGAACAGCCACCAACTTGTCCTCATTTAGAAGAAGGTAGAAGTTGGAGTACCCAGGCTTAATTAAGTGCCTATAGATTTGAAAAATTATCTTCTTGATGCCTTGCTAGTGATTTAATCAGTTGCTCCCATGTACTTGAATGGACAATGTGACTTCAAAATAGAGATTCTTCCTACATTCTGTGAAATTGCTTAAGGAAGTGGTTAGTAGAAGATGATGTAGATCTATGACTGATAGAAAAATGCACTCAGCTTGTGCTCCTCAAACATAGATGCAACTTTGTTTGGAAAGTATGTAAGTATGGTAGTTCCAGAGAAAAGTTCTATTTCTAAATACTTTTCCCAAAGACATGGTAGAAATGCACACAAGCAAAAGGAAGACTATACACATGGATCAACTATTTTGAGCTTCTTTTGATTCCAGGAGGAAGTGCCTGAGACCATGACAAAAAGGGGAAGAATTCTTCCAATGTTAATGAAAGTATGTTTGGCATAACAAACGTCTTTGGTATTTCATATACACAGATTCTATCTTTGTACACGTGGAACAAGATATATGCATTGCCTAATATTTTTAACGGTAAGCAAAATATACAAAATGCATTTCAGCTTCACTTGCAAAAAAATTATACATTGCTGGTAATACAAACAAGCATCTCTGTGACATGCCTGTACAAAGCTAAATCTTATTCTCAGTGGTTGCTTGCCCACAGCTTCCCATGCTCTTTAGTTAGTCAGTTTGAACACTCAACATCTCAAACACTAGACTATGGTAAATATGCTTAAGAAAGAGTGCTACAGTGGAAAAATAAAATAAATAACAATGTTTCATCTTTTCAGAAAATGTCGAAGTGTTGTGTCTTGTGAAATGTCTCTTTGCTGTGGCAGAATAATTTCAGCAAAATGCTTTTACCACATAGGCATATTTTAAACATTTAACTTTCTACAGAGTATCCACAGAGATGGGGGTGACATACAG